GGTAAATTTCGACTGATGCTTACAATTTTGTAAAGTCAAAATTCTTTATATTGTTTTAATTAAAAAATGATTAGCATAAAATCGAGAATATCGAATTAGGCAAACTACTATCGCATATATCTTTTCCTAATCGCTACAAGTCGGTTTAGCATAATGTTTTTGTAGACTAGTGGAAAATGTAGAAATTAAGTATCAACATAAAATGAATATGAAAAATATTCAAAAAAATATGTCTTGACTTAAAATATAAATAGTATAAAGTTATTATTATGATATTGTAAATAAAAATATGGATAAATATTATAATTTGAAATTAGAAAATATGTATTTAAAAAATTTGGAAAATATTACATTTGTATATATTAATTTATGTTTTAAATCATCAAGTATTACAAATTTAAAATACTTAAAAAATTAGTATATGAGAAATCAAGAATTACAATACAATAAGACTTTTAAATAAACTACAAATTTCAAAATCAAATTTATGCTATAGATAACATTTACATTGGACATTTATAATTTAATAAATATAATCAAAAATTATTATTTTTCTACGGATGACATTATTTTATGTTAAATAATATCGCTTTTTTAGTTCTTTATCTTTTATAATTTAACGATAGAAATTAATTAGTTTATTAATTTTTATAAAATATTAATTTTTTCAGGTACCCGTGTAGTATACGAGTATCATATTAGTATATATAATAGATTGCAAGCTAGAGCTACTAAACTAATTGAATAGATCATGGACTCAACCCATCTCCCTTACTTAATGAGGCTGAAGTCAATTTGGTTCTTTAAGGCTCATTGACTAGTTTGAGATTTTATTATTTTTTATGTAAAAGTAAGAGAGAGATAATGTGAAGTGATTGTAAGTTAAAATTATTCAAGTGGATAAATAATGAGTTTAAACTAACTAGTAGATATCATGTGCATATGCACAGATGTATAAAATATTAGTAAGTAACATTTGAGAATTTAATATTAAAATTCTAGATTATGAACATATTACATCTTCAAAAATTTGATCATTAGGAAAAATTAATTAACAATTTTATTATTATGAATAATTGTTTATTATCATTAGATAATAACAGTTTGATTATTATTATTATTATCATTATCATTATTATTATTATTAAAAAAACAATTGTCTGTAAGCTTTTAAAGTTGTTTGACTATACTATTAAAACAATTTACTAATTGTTAAGAAATTTTTTCATGAGATACACGAGAAAAAGATAATATAAATATCTTGAAACAATTGTTTATAATTATGTAATTTATATTGATTTTGAAATATTATTAGTTGGTATTACCAATAACTATTATATAATATAATAGAAAAATACATGATTACACTTAATAGGATGTGTTAATGTGAGAAGTAAAAAAATATTAATGGTAAATTTTATAACTGAAAATAGAAGAAAAATTTTACAAGTTTTATTAAATAGGTAAAATTAAATGCTAAGCTAGCAATTATATATATATATATATATATATATATATTATTAAAAATTAATTGTTTATAAGATTCTAAAGTTGTTTAACTATGCTATTAAAACAATTTACTAATTGTTTTTAAAGAAATTTTTTAATGAGATACAATAGAAAAAGATAATATTGATGTAAAAATACATAACTTGAAACAATTGTTTATAATTATGTAATTTATATTTATTGTGAATTATTACTAGTTGGTATTAGCAATAACTATTATATAATATAATAGAAACATACATGATTACACTAATTAAGATGTATTAATGTGAGAAGAAAAAATATTAAATACAAATTTTGTAACCGAAAATGGAGGAAAAATGTTAGAGGTTTTATTAAATAGGTTTTATTAAATGCTACATGCCAGCAATTATATATATATAGATGAGATGTGAAATAATAATTAGTTGATATTATTTAGTTATATGTATAATATTCAGGATAGTTGTGTTGCGATAATGTTAGAGTTAGATTTTGAGTAAGAATTGATGAGTATAGATAAAGAAAATTTATAAATAAACATATCTTAAACGAATTAAATCGTTCGTGGACTCGACCCATCCCTCTTAGTTAATGAGCTTAACTCAACTTGGTTCTTTAAGACTCATTAATTCGGCTGGAGAAATATTTTTTTAATGCAATTTGCTGAAATATTAAATTAGTTTGGCTTGTTACGTCTTTGTTCGACCTGAATCGAACTTATTAATCGTCTCAATAAATACATTCGAGTCCAAATCAATTTTTTTATCGAGTCCAAATCAAATTTCTAGAGTAAAATTTCGGCTCGACTCAACTCGACTTCACCCCACCGGATCTAAATGCAACTCAAACATCAAGCAATCGTGAATATGCTAGCAAGGATAAAGAAGGGGCAAATTGATAAAAGGACATGACTTGAAAAAAAAAAATAATAACAAAAAAAGGACATGGGGCACAATTTATGTTCAGAGCCTCCGCACTGACCGGGCCAGGGCTCGGATGCCAACCACACGACCGTATCTTTACGGGCCCCACAACAACCCCATGTACTTCCAAACCTTAAATCTTATTTATTATTATTATTAATAATAATAATATTGTTGTTATTATTATTCACCTAAGCACCCTTCAATGCTTAATAAATTCACTTCAAGCCCACCAACTTATTAATGTCTTCTTTCTTCTCTACTGCGACAAACACAATACTAACAATTCTTAATGTCAATAACAAAACAAATAAATAAATAAATAAATAAATAAATAACAAACAAACTTGTGCTCATTTCTCAATGTCTTATTTGCAGTAAACACGTATATACACTAATAACGTTTGAATTACGTATCAAATGATTTATATAATCATTTGATTGTTTACATTCAAATGTGAAGAGTTTGGAGGATTTAGGCTATGTTTGATAAACCAAATAAGATAGTTTATGGTTTATTTGATTAGCTTATAAGCTTCCTGTATTTAAATAAGCTCCGTTTGGTGGGACGAGCTTATTTAAAAAGCTCGAGCTTATTTGATAAGCTTGTTTAGGTAGTTTTTCAAATAAACTAGTTGAATTTTTTATTTCAGCTAGTTTATCAGCTAATTTTACCAAACACTTTTATCATATAAGCTAGCTTTTCAGTTATAAGTTATAAGCTATAAGCTATAAGCTCGAAAATTAGATATAACTATAAACTAGCTTATCAGCTATCAACTAGCTTATCAGCTAGTTTTACCAAACATAGCATAATAGACCTTGACTGTAGACAATGAAATTGCCGGTTATTGACTTTTATAGGAGTAATGATTGATGGTTATATTTGTATTTTCAGTGATCAAATTTGTTTATGCTTTAATTTTAATCTATCACACAAACGTTTGAATCCATAATTATATGTTATTTTTTTGTAAACACGGGCACTACAAGAAGATAAAATTTCAACGAAAAAAATTTTCCAATAAAATTATTTCAAATTTTCAATGGATATGTCAGTACCATTATTTTCGTTGGAATTGTTCAATGGATTCCAACGGAAATTCCACCAAAAATATTTCGTTGAAGTTAGTATTCATTAGAATTTCCGTTGGATTTTGACGATTTGACGGTAGATTTTCCAACAGAGGTATAAATAAAAATTCCAACGAAAATTCCTACATTAAAAAATAATTGGAAATATAACTGTTGGAAATATAGTCCTTGGTTCTTGTTCTAATCCTTTTTTTTTTTTTTTTTATAATTACTTTAGCTATCCGCCAGTCATTGATATAGTTTATTTTGTAATTTTGATGACGTAAAGAGGAACGATATATAACAACTTATATTGCATGTGCTTGGTTTAGAATAATTTCATGATTAAATTAAAATTCGATTTATTTCCTTTTTTAATCCAATGATTAGCTAGATTTAGTCAATGTGATTCCTTCCAAGAAATTGTAGTTTTTATTTTTTATTTTTTTACAAAGAAGGGGGGCAAAGCTTATCTTGCCTAGATCAAAACATTCCGAGAATGAGTGACGCTCATCCTATCATGATGCAACCACATGCTCACCTCCAACGGGGGACTCGCCAACCGCTGCAGCCTGCAAACCGCTCAGACACTTCGCCGCCAAGGAATCTTATCAATACACAATTTCGGTCAATTGATAAATTTATCTGAAAAGTAGATTAATAGTATAATTTAGATGGCAAATAGATTAATCCTTAATTAGATGAGATCTTTGTAAAGCACGGGCCCTCCAATTTATATTTTGATAAGCGTAGTAAATTTATTAAACTATATTTCTATCCTGTAGAAATTATTTTAAAATAATTTGAAAACCATGAGTGGAGAGAGTATAATCAACTTTATCCACATAATAATGAAAAATAGTATAGCAGGATTAATGACTCTATTAAATCTTATTTTTCCTTGTATTTACTTTTGGACCCTAGAGTCGTACATATATTATTATTATTATTATTATTATTATTATTATTATTATTATGGTCTCGTATGTCTATCGTTGGAATAAAATATTATTATTATTATTATTATTATTATTATTATTATTATTATTATTATGGTCTCGTATGTCTATCGTTGGATTAGGACATGTAAAAACAAATAAGGATTAGTTTGTTTGATACTAATGATTAGACGAGTGGAACAATGATGAAGGTTGAGCTTGATTTAAGCCTTGACTATGCAATCTAATTTTCACGGATAGAATTCAAGTACCAACCATGCAATCATGCCTGAAGCCCATCATAAGCCAAATTTAGGGCCCATTCTAACTAGCGATTAGACGTATGAAAATTAGATCTTAGATCTCCGGCTTCGAAATTGTTTTGTTTCGACGATCGATCAATTACAACGGATACATTTCTCATGATTCGGTAAAAATTGGCCGAAAAAATCTGGTCCACAAAAAGATCAGATCCAATCTAACATCATACACTTTTGTCCGAACGCTAAATCAGAATATGAATTACACGGCAAATTTATACATCAAAAGAACCGAAAAAGAAATGGAAAACGTACTATGCCGTGGGGGCTGTAGCCTCGGGTGTGTACCAGCCAAGTTTGATCTCGACTGCTTTCTTTCTTCTGGCCAGGCGGGACTTTCTTCTTGCACCCGTGTTCCTGTGAAGGGTACCGACCTTGACAGCTTTATCAATACATGAATATGCTTCGCCTATCAACTTTTCAATCGGAAGAACCTCCTCAGGTTGGGCTTCGGGCTTTTTTCTTAGAACTTCTAAAGCTACGAGAACCTGGGAGAGATGGATTAATTTAACATGTTGGCAAGAAGACAAAGCAGAATGCATCAACTACGCAGAGAGTATGTTGTTATGGAATCTGAAAATCAGAGGGTCCTTTGTAGGTTTTCTTGATAAAGCTATTTATGGAATGGTTTTAGTAAAAAGTGATGAAGTGTTATCATAGGAATGCTTCATTTTAGCATGAGCTAAACAACGGTAGACGTGATAATACTTAGTGGATATATCTAAAATTCGAGTAGTATATCAGCATATTTTATTTATTTTTTTACTCATTAACATCTAAAACTGCATTTGTTTTCTCCTCACACAAGATTCCAACCATAACCATTCTGAAATACACATTCCAGATTCTTTTGTATATTTTTTCCACCTATCTTGACCAGCTTTGCAAGTCATATTCCTTTGCAGGATCCACATAAATATTCACCTTTCCTAACTTCCTCAAAAAAATGCAACCTCAGCAAACAGCAAAAATGTTCCCTACTTTTTAAATCAGTTATGGGCATAATTAGTTACACTTCATAAACTTAAGCTAAATTTTATCGAGCCTTATGAAACTGCTACGCATTCATCATGAAAATAATCAAATATAAATGGGCAAAATTAGTTACACTTCATCAACTTAAGCTAAATTTTATCGAGTCTTATGAAGCTGCTACACATTCATCATGAAAATATAAACGGAATGAGCACATGCCGCAAAACACTATGGGAACCAGTCGGGCACTAACAGGAGAATCAGATGAAAACAATTCACAAAACCATCAGAAATACCATTACATTCATATCACAACTCGTATACAGTGCCCTCTGTCTGGAACTGTTCTTTCAAACCACTACACAGATCATAAAACCATCTTAAACCCAAGAATGGCCTCTTGATTAAACATTTGGAACTATGTGGATTACCCCCAAGTCTTCAAAGCTGGTCTCGAGTTTCTTATCCAAATCATGCTTTCCCGGAACAGAATTGCTAAGAATTTACATGAACTGTATAACTTATAAATTTGGAGCCACCCATAGAATAGGGAGGGATCCAGCCCGGTCTTAATTTTTAGATTTTTCTGCATAATGTACTAGTTAAAAAGAATATCTCATATTAAATTTGATTAGCCATTTTAAATTTATTGTCCATTGCAAATGGAGCTGGAAGAGTCATTGTTGACAATTCTCTTGGCACAGTGCTAATAATGGACTAGATCAAAATGGCTCAATTAAATTCTAGTGCCTCTTCTATTAGTGAAGTTTCTAGAAAAAAAATATATCAAACGACGCAATGCACCTTGGGTCGCTACGGAAACAGCCTCCTTGTATAATTACAAAGGTAAGGTCTGCGTACAACAGACCCTCCAGATCCCAACCAGTTGGGAATATAATGGGTATGTTGTTGTTAGCCATTTTAAATTTATTTTGGAAGAAAAAAATGTTTTAGGTTGAACAAATGAATTATCTATTTATGACATGATTTCAATTTCAATTTCTTTACAGTTTTCTTTATAGTTTAACATGTCACTTTTCTTCTATTTTTTCCTTCATTTTTTATTGTTTGGTTAAATAGAGTTGATATTGAACAGTAAGATTAGTTGATAATTCACCAGTTTATGTTAATAATGAGTAATTTACAAATAAAACACAACTACAAAGTTAATAATTTATATTTTATTTTACAAAAACACCATTTAAATTACTCATAATGTATGTGTGATTCATGCAAGTTATATTAAATGCTTAAGAGAATTATTTTCATACTTTTGACTTCTTTATATATGCGTCTAGCCATAGATGATATGCAAGCCCAGTCGAGTTGAGTACCTCCTGTGGACTCGTGCTCAATTAATTAACGAGTCAGCTCGGCTTAGCTGATTAACTAATAAACATCTCATCAGGTGTATGCTCGACTCAGTTCGTTTAATAAACCAAAAATCCTAATCCCAAATCTCTAACCGAATTATTCGTGAAACAGCACAACTAGACTGTTTAATGTAGAGTTCAATTGGTTGTTCAAGTTCGGCTCTTTTAAGTATACAAACGGAGCTTTAACGGATCAAACCAAGCTATGTTCATTGACAATTCGGTTCAAATAATAATTCCTCATCTAGCCAAATCAGTAAAAAAGTTTCCTGTATTTGCCCTTCTCAGAGTAGAAATACAGCACCAAATCTCATAACAATTCGTTCCAGCCCATAAACAACTCAAATTCCCAAAGCAGCTAATACTCCAACACACTCATTGGACACTTAACAATACAGAAAGATACAGACCATTAACTGTAGCATACCAAATGTAAAAGAAGTAAACAGAGAGAAACAGTTTCAGCTGAAAGTTAGATAGTGCAAGTGTGGCCTAACTAACCTTCTTCATACGGGTCTTGATTTCGGATTTCCGGGACTTGTTGTAAAGCCGCCTCTTCTCGGCTTGGCGAGCCCTCTTCGCAGCCGAGTCTGGTTTCTTCTGCGTGGCTTCGCACACAATTGAGCTCCGTTTTGGGAGCATCTCCACTGGGCGCACAGAGACCAAACCTACGATTTCCAGGAAAAGTGAATTTCAAAGAAAGAAAACAGTACAACACGAAAATCAGAAACATAAAAGAAGACCAACTAAGGAAAGGAACGCAAATTGTCCAGGAAAATCGCATATACATGCATCCGTTATCGTCTCACCTGTAGAGAACAGATTGGTCGAGAAAGTAGATGAAAAGCCGAGCGCCTTACTGGGGGCGCTAGACAGAGAAAGGGTCCTCATCTTCCCCGGCAGACTACAACACGAAACACAGGGCGCCATTGATGCGGCCATAGACTTCAGTTCGAGCTCTGAAATGGATTTTGAATCGATATGAAAAAGGAAATGAGCAATGACCCAAATCTTATCCGATGCGCAAGGGCACAGGTCGTCTTATCTCATTTATGCGAGATTCTGTGTACGTTCTTCTAAAAACGTGAGTCGTTAGAGCTCGGCGTTTTTTCTCAAGTTGGGATGGGCCGGGGTTCGTTACTAAATTGGCAAGCCCAAAATGAAACTTCACATCTACTTGGATAGGCCTGATTATTAAGTTGCATACATGGAGAAATAGGGCATGCTTGTTTATTAATAAATTTACCTACATTCAATTCGTACTCAAAATTAAATTTAACCGTAATTCAACTCTACTAACTTTAATAGTATTCAAATAATTAAACAATACAAACTAATTATTATTACGCATCACATCAACTTTGATTCATTATTCATCAGCTCACATAATTTTAACTACGTATCATTTTCAATCATTTACAATCATCTATCTCATATATTTACATTAAATCATTTTTAACTATTTTAGTTAATATTAATTTGATACATTCTTAAAATACCAATAATAACAAATCATACAACTTTTTTCTAAAATACCAATAATAACAAATCATACAACTTTTTTCGATTAGCTTAGTTTAACAAAAAAGCTCATTTTGAATGAATTAATTAATAAACAATAGCTACCTTAGAGTTAAAGAACATACACATATATCCCACTCTTGACACCACAAAAACTTGTTCGCAAAAAATTTTCATTACCCGCAAGCGTACGGTGTAGTTGTAGTAAGCGGCGAGCAAGATCGTATTTCGCAGAGATTGATGTTAAGCTAACTAAGTACCAAAATGTAGACGATTAAATATTATTTTGACTAACTCAAATTTAAATGGTGATTTTGATCTAAACTAATGAATGCTTGCAAAATAAATTCTAACACTAAATAAGGCTTGTACTAAGATAAATCAAGAATGAGAAAATAGATTCTAGGCTATGCTTTCCTCGAGATTATTCTAGCAAATATTTCTTATTCATTCAAACTTTATTTAATTATACCAATCGTAGGGATAATCGCTAAAGTAATTTACACCTTCTTCTCGAACAAGTTAAATCATAGATATTAACTGATATCTATCTCCTCTCAATCTCAAGATGAACATAACTCTCATAAGTTCCTAATATTCTAGTTCCCTCGAAAGATTCTATCAACCTCTCGGTCTATTTAGTCTCTCACGTTATGAATTTCTCAATTCTAGCAATCAACTATTTCCTATCGGTCTCAAGTCAATCAAAAATATGCACAAATATAGGCCCTATATTCACACAATTCATATAAGCAAAAGATATCGATAAACAAAAGATAGACCGGAATGAATAAATAAAATCACTTCATAAAATAATCCGAGTACTCACAAATCCTAGATTCTCAAAGAGATTTAGCTACTAAACATATTTTCAAAACTCAAAACAAATCCATGAGTTCAATGAAGAAGAAAAAGAGAAAAAGAAAGAAGAACTATTGTCGCTGTTAGTTCCCGAATCTTCAATCTTGACTCCTCGAATCCCTTGTGTATTTCGTGCTTTCTCTAGGCCTCCAACGGTGTCAAAAGTCCCAAAATTGTGTTCTCCAGGTTCTTTATATACTGTAGGGCAAATATGGGTCGAAAAAGGGAATAAATCGCGTGAAATCCTATTTCCCGATGGTCAGTCTGCGCGTCACACGACCCGTGTCACATGCCACACGAGTCGTGTGTTTTCCTTGAATTTTTGGCCAACTCCCAGAATTACATGACCGCTCACACGACCCGTGTGAGGTCACACGACCCGTGTCACTTAGCCACACGACCCGTGCGAAAATGCCGTAAGGAAACATTTTTTTTCTCACTCACAAGACTCGTGTCACTGTTCACACGAGTCGTGTGTCCTCTTCAGCATCTGGTTTTCGTCGTTTTTCGTCCCGACTCCATTTTTAATGCTTTTTTCGGGCATATTTCATGCAAAACCAATGAAAAAAAGTACATCCATCATAGATTAATAAATAAAACATAATGGTGCACAATCTCACGATAAACACGGCTAAATATCACATTATATCACACATAATGCATGAAAATATGATGAATGTCAACTGTCCGACCGTGCGAAGGGTCGAGGCGCTGCCCACGACACGAAATGTCGAGGTGCGACCTGCGGCGCAAGGTGTCCATGCTAATGCCGAGTTGCGGACTTGGAAAGGCTGACCGTGTTGTTTTCTGCTTCCCATTATGATGCTTAGCTGCTTTTATTCATGTTGTAGTTATTTTTCTCTCATCATTGTAGTGTTAGTTTTCATATACTCGTACAACTTCAATTGGCACCAGAGCAGGTTTTCGTATACATTACGAAGGATCTGCGAGGCGACATCTGAATGGCCATTTGAAAAGTAATAGAAAATAATTGAGCAGCATGGCTCTAGTAACATGATGCTTTACAAATTTCTTAGCGAGTCGCGAGATTTGAATAACGACTACTCGCTGGCATAATTATAAAGGAGGTCAACCTCAAGCTGATAGAAGAGAGTGAGGTCGACATCGACTCCCTGGATGCGTGTGCATCCCCTGTGCGTGCATGCGTGTTCTGTGCCAGCACGCGCGCGGAGACTCGGGTCGACGCGGGTCAGGTAGCGCGGAGGGTTACATTCTCCCCCACCTGTTGTGGCGAGGTCTTCGTGCTGTGAGTCGCGCACCTGGGACACCTGGTAGCCGGGCTGGCGTTCTCTCATTCATACTCGCGTGGTCGAGCGTAATCTCGTGGTGGTCCGCAGCCGATCACGTAGAAATCTCAAATGAATATCCCCCCCCCCAACACTTAATGGGGGTGTATTTTTTTGAGATTTGAAAGTCCATAGACATCTCAAATGAATACCCTACCACTCTGTCTGCATTCCATCACTGGGAAAACGCACGCCCACCGTCCACCCTCGAATTGCGGCTCAGGGTGCCGCTGATGCCATAGCGCCACTTCAATCCCCAATTCCGATTCAAATCTCCCATCTAGAAAGGAATCGGAGGTCGGCTCTGATGGGCTCGATGAAGAACGTTCGCTGATCTTGCTTTAAATCGATTGATAATATAAGATTCGAATCATACTTATTTGTTAATTAATGTCAACTCTGTATAGACATACACGGCCTACAGGATTATGTGAAATTCTTCAACATTCCTTCAACCTTCTCGATGTCGTGTCATCACCGCAATCATCAAGTCGCTCTCAATGGAGCCGCATGAGTCGTCGGTTGTTGTTGCTGCGCTGGGGCATGTCGCCAGGAGCTGCGCGATCACTGGTTGCTTACGGCTGATAGTGCGCAGGTCGCCGATCGAAAAAAAAAAGGAAAAATTCCGTTGTGAGGAAAAAAAATTAAGTGTATGATTGTAAAAGAAGAGAGAGAGAGAGAGA